CCATGTGGTTTCTGGGAATTGAACTCAGGACCTCTGGAAGAGCAGTTGGTGCTCTTTTTTTTTCCATTCATTTATTTAGCTCATAAATAAAGTCATGCACAATTATGATACATAATACAGTATGTTCACAATGCCATGGCTAAATTAAACCAATTAACATGTTATATCACACATATTCATCATTTTTGTTTTGAGAACACTTAAAGTATACTATCTCACAACTTTTAAAATATAGCATATTGTTGTCAACCATATTTATCATGCTCTCAGTAGACCTCAAGACATCACAGAGTCCATGCCTCTTGTCCAACTGCAATTTTATATCCTTATATTTTATAAGACTTATCTTATAGAGGATGCCTTCCGCTGGCACCCTCTCTTGCCGGTGGCTCACATGGCGCCACTGATGGAGACGCAGAGGGGAAAAGGGACATTTCCTGTTTCTCCTTGCTTAAATATGAGTCTCCTTGCTATGTCACTTCCTGCCTGAATCACTTCTCTACTAAATTTCCCAAAATCCTCTTTGACTCCTAGTCCCATCTAACTTGCTGTCTCATTGGCCAAACAAGTACTTTATTCAATAATCAATAAGATGAACATACACAGTACATTCCCCATCACTAACCTTTTCTTATTTCTTCTTCTTCTTCTTCTTCTTCTTCTTCTTCTTCTTCTTCTTCTTCTTCTTCCTACTCCGCCTTCTCCTCCTCCTTCTAGCTTTTTGGTTCTATTTGGTGGCCAGGGTATATTTCTTTCACTGGCTCTGGTTTAGGGCCAAGGTGTATTTCTTTGGCTCTGGTTTCACAGTCAGGGTCTGCTTCTTAGGTTCTAGGTACAGGACTAAATTGTTTTGTTTTTTTTTTAATTGGCTTGGGTTCAGGTCCAATGTGTGTTTCTTTCACTGGCTCTGGGATCTGGGTCAGATTTCATGTTCAGGGATGGGTTGGTTTCTTTGGCTGACCCTTTTACCCTACACAAAAACCTACAGAATATAGCATTTAAAATAGGCTCTGGCCTCATTTCCTCACTGAGGGATTTTAGGCAAGTGCTCTTCTGCTGATCAGTGTCTCAGGTAAGTGTTGCTTCCAGTCTGTCCAGAATAATGGGCTCCTTTCATATTCATCTTCAGAGTTGTAGACAGGTAGGTTGTGACATAAAAATGAATGGAAAATAAATAGGAAGTTTAAAGTTTAAAAAAAGGTAATCATAAAAGAGTTAAAAAGACACATAGCGATGATAGACTGCGGCTGGATACAAGCAAGCAAGAGAGTGAGCAAACAAGCAGGCAAAAGGATATTAGAGCCTAAGAGACAGCTCCAGGCTTGGGGACATTGTAATGAGAGTGAGAGGTGTCACGAAAAGCTGCTCTGGAAAAATCTGCATCACAAACCACTTCTAGGAGAACCATCTCAGAGAGATACGTCATGGATTTCTGAGCTCATGTAAGTTACGTTCTGCAAATGGGATTCCCAGGGTATAATGTGCTTTCCATATAAACCCATGCACAGGTATAATTTCTCAGCCCCTGGAGGGCACAGGCATGCTGGAAAATCCCTCCTTCCTCTAGAGGCCTGAGGCTTCCAGTTGCAGATTAAGAATCCCTGAGGTACAGGGCAGGTGGTCATTGCTCTGAGGGGACAAACCAACAGGGTCCTTACACCCCTGAGAATCCAGAGGGTGCCACAGATCCCTTTTCAGATGCCCCTGTCCATCTCAAGTGTAGGAACTATTGAGTTTGTGAACTGTGGGTCTCAAGCTCAACAAGGAGGGGTTGAGGGGAGAGTGTGGGTGGGGAGCAGAGGGAGGGAGATGAGGGCAGAAGGATGCTCACACAGTGCTCCTTCTGTGTGGTCCAGGCTGTTCTGAATGCTCAGTCTCCCAAGAGCGGCACTTACAGCTGTGCCTCCATGTCTGGCTCATAAGGACCCTAAACACCATCCCGTTGTTAATCTAGGAGTTTTCTAAGCAGTACCTTCACCCTCAGGGCAGCCCGATGAGATGGGTACCAATCCCCTCACGTGAGAAAGGAGGGACACTAAAGATGTTGCTCTATATATGTGGACACATGCACACTTGGTTCCTACTCTAAGTGAGATCTTACAGATCTGGAACAAAGGATTCCAATAATCCAACAAAAGCTAGAAATCTGTCAGAAGTAACCATGAGATATCCATCAATAAACAGGCACACATGTTACAATTAATTTATTCCATTTGTACATGGTTGTATGCATATCCATGTGGGCTATGGTGTGTGTTTATGGCAGTGGACAGACTGTGGGGATTGGTTCTCTCCTTGCAGACTGTGGGTTCAGGGTATTGAACCAATGTCCTCAGGATTGATGACTGGCTCCTTTCCATGCCAAGATGTTGGCACTGGCTCTTGAACCAGTTCTTTAAGGCTTGGGAATCTCTTAATGCTGTCATTGGAATGGCAGGATGAGGGTCAAACCTTCTTCTTCATTGCAATGGGCAGAGTTGTCTGGGTTTAGGGATGGGACAGCCGGAAGGTTGTACACTGCCCTGGTGCTCACATGGCTCATCCTCTGTTTCCACAGGAAAGCGCATTTGTCCTGGAGAAGGCATCGCCCGCAACGAATTGTTCCTTTTCTTCACCACCATCCTCCAGAACTTCTCCTTGTCCAGTCCTGTGGATCCTAAGGACATTGACCTCAGTCCCAAGGAGAGTGGCTTTGGCAGAGTGCCCCCAGAATACCAGATCTGCTTCTTGGCCCGATGACTGGGCTGAGGTGGCCAGGTGTCTCTACTCCTGTTATGATGGCCCTGCCCATGTCTCTGCCTGTGAGAGACCTGATGGGAACCAGGCCCTAGATCTGTCCTCACCCCTTCCACCTTACTGCAGCTTCTCCAAATCTCGAGGTGCGCTGTTCTTCCTGTGAATGGTACTGGAGGGTACAATCAAGGGATTGTGTGATCAGAGAGACTTGGAGGCCACATGGAATACTCAGTCACTCCCCTATCTCTCAACAGCCACATGCCATGTATCAGCTCCAGGTGCACCAGGAAGTCATCTAATGGGCTCTGAATATGGTCTGAATTCTGTGTCTATGGACTTGCCTAATATGTATGCTTCACATAAAGGGAATCACATGGTCTGTGACCTCTGGGGTCTGGTATCTTTTACTTTACACAGTATTATCTGGGTTTCTGTGTGTTGCAGCCTACAGTCACACACCTTCAAGGGTTTTCATCGTGGTCTTTCTCGGCAAAAGCAAAATTACCTTGTTTCATGCCTTGTGCCAGCAGAAGGTGTGGTCCATATTTAGGGTGGGTCTTCCTGCTTCTAATAATCTGGTAAGAAATCCCTCACAGAGTGTTCAGCAGCCTGGGTTTTAGTTGGTGTCAGATACAGTCAAGTTAACACTCGAGAGCGGCCATCACAGTGCCCAGTCCATGGTCTCCCAGCTATTCTTACATGTGACCTCTTGATGGCTGGTACCTAAGTTTCTTTTCAGAAGGGCTTCTTTCTTTCTTCCTTTCTTTCTTTCTTTCTTTCTTTCTTTCTTTCTTTCTTTCTTTTTGAGACAGAGTTTCTCTGTGTCTTTGAAGTCTATCCTGGCACTTGCTCTTGTATACTAGGCTGGTTCGAACTCACAGAGATCCACCTGCCTCTGCCTCCTGAGGGCTGGGATTAAAGGCGTGCGCCACCAACGCCCGGCATCAGCAGGGCTTCTTGCTGCAAACTCCATCCCATCCATGCCAGGGTTGTGAAGGACACCCTGTTGATTGTTTCCTGCTCTGCTGTGAGAACCTGGAACAGCAGGTGGTGACACCAGAGATTAATATAGTGGAAGATTAACCAGTAAGATCACAAACAACTCAATAAAGTGACAGCAGCCATTTTGGTTACCTGCTCCCTTTTGTCAACCCTCTACCCTCCTGGCCTCTTAGTCTGGCTTCCCCTTCTCTCCTCCCCGTTCTGGTCACATGGCCCAGCTCATAATGGACTATCCCAGGTGTTCCTGCTCTGGCTATGCTCTCTCTTTTATCTACAATAAACTTTTTCCTCCACATATCTAAGAGACATCATGTCCTTAATATTTTTATTTCTTTCATTCATCTGGTACTGAAACCTGGAGTAGTCCCATCCTTTCCCTATTTATGTATGTATGTATTTATTTATTTATTTATTTTCATTCAGTTATGAGTAATTTTGGTATGACTCTGACCTTCCAGAAACCACTTATGGGAAGAAAGTTTTAATTTGGATCCTGGTTTCAGTTGACCTTAGTGGAAAGGCACGAGGGTGGTGAAGGGACTAGAGCCTCACCCAGACCCCTGCTTTGGCAGCCATGACAGGCTGCAGAGAAGATATAGGCCTCTGACTCAGCAGCATGTGCTGAGCTCCTGACCTTGCTCTAGTCACTAGGAAGACAGATACCCTCCATGTGGTGAGGAACGAATCAGAATTTAGCTTTTGGGCTCTGGAATGTGGAGCTAGCAACTGCCCTGGAGGGTGTCTAGTCATAGCAACTTTAGTGCAGCTGTGCTTGGCCAATCAACACAGGACAGGTTGCCCAAGCTCAGAGGTGCACCAATGCTGAGACTGTTGCTATGCAACTAGGGGACCCCCAGACACTGCCCTTGCCCTACCCAATATATTCCCTGTCCCAGTGCTGACTGAAGTCCTTCTTGCAGTACCTGCCTCATCAGAGAGATAGAGGACACAGGTTAATACAGTCAATATGGTGCCCAAATTCTGAACCCCAAAGTCACCAAGAGGCCCATTTCAATGTAAAAGCAATGAGTCTTTTATTGCAGTTGTTTAACAAGCTAAACAACTTAGCTTGGGCCTTTCAACCATCCACCCAGCCAACGACCCCAAGAAACCATGAGACAGTGATCTTATAGGTCAGTATAAGGGGGTTTCTAGGGGTACACTAGGCTCAGGATTGGTGTGCCTCCAGGCTTAGACGACCTGCCCTGTGTTGATTGGTCAACTGGTTTTTATGGCCCATAGGCGCTACCAGGGCGGTTATAACGCTCTGCAAGTCATTGCTCTTCACTTGTCTCTTAACCACACCCAGAGCTCTAAAACATAGCCCCTCTAGCTAACTTCTGATTGGTTCCTTGCCACAAGGCAGGCATCTGACCTCCTAGTGACCACGGCATGCCCAGCAAGGTCAGACAAACACGTGTTAGCCTATCATGGCTGGCTAATGCCACAAGGCAGGCATCTGACCTCCTAGTGACCACGGCATGCCCAGCAAGGTCAGACAAACACGTGTTAGCCTATCATGGCTGGCTATGATAGGGGCCTGTCCCTTCATTAACTTGATAATTTATTAAAGACTTTGCTTTTGCAACACATCGGGTCTCTGGGTGATTTGGGGGTTCAGAGGTTGGGTACAACAGTGGGCGTGGCCTTGCATGTGGTAATGGGATTGTGTGGTAGAGCTCCTCACATGCTAGCTTGCAAAGAATGCTTGCTAGGACCAAGCCCACCACTATTGACCTGTTTCCACCAGCCAGAACCCAATGCCTAATGGCGTCATGTCCTTCAAAATAGCCCCACAAAGGGCTGGAGATTCAGGTCAGTGGCTAACAGCACTGGATGCTCTTCCAGAGGACCTGGGTGCAATTCCCAACATCCATGTGGTGGCTCACAACCATCTGTAACTCCAGTCCCAGGTGATCTGACGCCCTCTCCTGGCCTCCAGGGGCAATGCATGCAAGTGGTTTACATGTATACATGCAAGCAAAATACCCATGCACATCATATAACAATAAATACATATTAAAATTACATCATGAGATCAGAACATTCAAAAACATGATTAAGTCAATGATACAAAAATTCAGACATTATGCTGGCCTGTCCCTGTCACCTTCAGAATGCATTCAGGCAGTACCCTGGTCAGCCCAGGTTTCCATGGCTGTGAAGTCTGCACAAAAGTACAAAGGACCCCTTTAAAAGAGAGATCCCTGCCCAGTTACGCCAATTATACTTTCAGAGCCCAGAAAGTCTGTTCCTGTCTGTAGGCATATGTATTGAGACTTCTCAAGCCACTTTTCAAGAACCACTTAGCATTTAAGAGAACTGGACTGCAATTCTGTACAAACACTAGTCTATAACCCTGGCCATAAGTTACAGTCTTCTGCTTGTCAGTCCTTACCATCGACCTCTCTGAATTTCCATGGATTTCTGTTTCACAGGGGTTAACTCTTTTACATACACTGGCTGTGGCGTGCAATAAAGCAGCATGCAAAATTAAAAAGAGAAGATATGATTGGGCAATCCTACTCATGGAATATATCCAAAGAAAATTAAATCTGTCCCCTGAAGATGCCTCTGTACTCCTGTGTTCAGTACAGCACGATTTACAATAGCCAAGGAGCAGAAACAGCCTTTGTGGCACCAACCAATAAATGCATAAGAAAATGTAACTATTCCACACTGCAGAGTACTATTCAGCCCCCAAGAACAAGAATGAAATCCTGCCCATTGCGGCAGCGTGGGTGAAGGCCAGGGTACTTTGCATCAAGATCATAACAGGAATCACTGCAGACCTGCTCAGCCCGCAATGTCTCGTCTGTTGCAGTACCAGTGTGGGTTCACGAGGGTCTGTCTATGAAAGAAGACTTAGAGACACTTTTAAGAATGAACTTAGCCTTTCACAGCTGCAAGCAGGGGATGGCAGGGTGGGCTGGAGGGGGACTTGGGGGGTGTCCAGTGCTTTCCCCTCGACCATGGCATTGTTATCTTTCTCTGTATTTACACTTTAGCCAGTTGATTTCCTATGCTCTGAACAACTTGAATGACGCTTCCAAAAAGACAATGCCAAGTGCAAAGTCTTGATTCACCAGGTACCACAGTTTTCTGGGTTTCTGAACCAAGTTCTGCATAGGCTTTGTATCCTTGGGAAACTCTCAGACAGATTCCCATAGGGGAACAAGAGAAACAAAGGGTATCTTGTAAACAAAAGATGGATTAGAGCTAGGTGCTAACTCTTTGGAGCTAAGCCAGATGGAGCCCAGTAGGGATTGGGGCTAATTGGTAACTCTGGCACCAGACCAGCAGGAAATCTGCCACACCCCACATGACCTCCAAACACCCGTCCCTCTGGTTTTACAGCTGACTAAGGCAGGGAATGGGAGAACTTGCTGAGGACCTCACAGGCAAGGTAAGGGTGCAAACACAGTATTCCTCAAGCTCACAGGCACATTGACATTTTGTTTGTTTTTCAAGGCAGGGTCTCACTATGTATCCCTGGCTGTCCTGGAGCTCACTATGTAGACCAAGCTGGACTCAAACTCACAGAGATCCTCTTGCCTCGGCCTCCCGAGTGTTGAAATTAAACGTGTGTGCCATCGCCACCTGGCTAGACATTGTTTAATTAGATTTATATATTTATTTATTTGTGTGTATGTGTGCTTGTACATGTTAGAGTGCACATGGAAAATGCCCTCACCTGAAAAGGGGGGAGGCAGAGCTTACATGTAGGGAAAGCTGGACTTCCATCTAGTGGCACTGTTTTGGAAGTTCCCAGAAACTTAAGGTCATGGGACCAGGATGGAAGAAATGGCTCCTGGTGTGAGGACTTGAAGATGTGGAGCTCCTGCTCCTCCTTCTCCTTTCTCTCATCCTACCGTGAAGCAACAACCGGGTGTGCTGAAACAATCTCTCTGTTCTAGTTGTTTCTCTGGAACCATTTGGTTACTGCAACAAAATAACAATCCACTGCTTTTTATTTAGATTCTAGACCAACAGTAATGAGC